GGAAACTTGTCTTCAAAGTATTCCTATTTTACCATTTCAGACAAATTTACTGTTTTGCAGATGGATGACAACCTTTTATTTCTCATCCCAACCTTGATAATTACCATTTGATTTACATGTGCTCCCACGGATGTCTCCAGGATCATGGTAGCAATAATTCTGATTTTAGGGAAGAAAGAAATTGACTTCCCTTCCAAGAAAAAAAATTCTGATTAGGTTTCTGTACAGGGAGAAAGCTGAAGAAAACACACGCATAAACATACAGTTCCTGGAGTATCTTGGGATTCAGGACAAACAGACACATGGTTCCATGGATGTCAGTCACAGGCCGGGGCTAAGGATGAATGCTATAGGGTACAAGGTCTTGTCACAGAAGAAGGTTAACAAAAGATGACAGTGGCTATAGTGGAGAACAAGTGGTGGCACAGAAACCAATTCTTATTGGAGTCTGTGGGAATTGGGATTACATACCCAGGGAAACTTCAATGATCCAGTGTTCATATGATACCTCTCCAGTATTTCTGGGTATCCCCTCTGCATGTCACCAGTTGGCACAGATCTAGCTTTAACTGTATAATCTCTGATCCAACAACTGGTGAATGCAAAGAATCAGATTTTTTTTTTTAAAAAGGGCTCTCCCCAGGTCATTGTTAAGGCATATTGTCATAGATCTTAGTACAGCAGCATGGAGAAACTAGCATTTAAACTGCCCATGCTTTATATCTCCTGTAGATAAAAATCCAGGTCTGATAACCTGGCCATATTGAAGTCAGAGAGAGATTTTCCACTGACTTTATTGGGGCCAGGATTTCACCCCAGGAGTTCCTGTGACATTCTTTATGAAAATATGCTTATTATATGGATATGACATAATTGAGATATTCTCAAGATGGCTCATGTAAGATATCATTGGAAAGGTTATGATTTACTGAATGTGATTATCCAATCTGTATGCATGTATCATTTCTTTATCTAAAATTAGGAATATGGACTATGTAACCATTAAACTGGGTGTGTGTTGGGAAGACACCCACCAGACAACAGGTTATCAGATTTGATGGTCCATTAGGAAGAAACAACAAGACTGAAGATACTAATCTCTCTCCCTCCTGCGGGGCATCTTGAGACATAACTGTGACACTACTAGATCAGCTAGTCTTGTCTAGGGTGACCAGGTGTCCGGTTTTCGACCAGAACATCTGGTTGAAAAGGGACCCTGGCGGCTCCGGTCCGCACCGTTGACAGGGCCAGTAAAGGTCCAGTTGGTGGTGCTGCGGCGCTAAGGCTGGCTAGTCCCTACCTGTCCTGGCACCGTGCTGTGCCCTGGAAGCGGCCAGCAGGTCCAGCTCCTAGGCTGGGGGCTCACATGCTCCATGTGCTGCCCTGAGCACTGGCTCCACAATCCATTGGCTGGTTCCCAGTGCACAGCACGGGGGCGGTGCCTGCAGGCGAGAACAGCTCGTCGAGCGGCCTTCCCTCCTCCCCCTCCCCCTGCCTTCTACTGCCAGACCTCCTGGCTGCTTCCGGGGCCCGCACAATGCAGTGTTAGGACAGGAGGCAGCCTGCTGCACCACTGACTGGGAGCCACCCAAGGCAAGCCCCACCCCAACCCGAAGCCCTTGCCCCAACCCTGAGCTCCCCAAAGCCCCCTCCTGCACCCCAGAGCTCACAACGCCAGCCCAGAGCCTGTACCCCCTCATTCACCCCAACCCCCTGCTACAGCCCAGAGCCCCCACCAAGTCTGGAGCCTCCTCCTGGACCCCAAAGCTCTCACCCCGGCCCCAGCCCAGAGCCCTCATCCCCTGCACCTCCACCCTGTGCCCCAGCCCAGAGACTCCTCCTGCACCCTGAACCCCTCAGCCCCACCCCCCAGCCTGGAACCCCCTCCTGCACCCCAAACCCTTCATCCCTAGCCCCACCCCAGAGCCAGCACCTCCAACCCAGAGCCCATATCCCCTCCCACACCCCAATCCCCTGCGTCAACCCGTAGCCCCCTCCCATATTCTGAATCCCTCGGTCTCAGCCTGGAGCCCCCTCCTGAATCCCAAATCCCCCATCCCCAGAGCCCACACCCAGAGCCGGAACCCTCACCCCCTCCCGCTCCCCTGTCCCAGCCCAGTGAAAGTGAGTGAGGGTGGGGGAGAGTGAGCCACCGAGGAAGGGGGAATGTAGTGAGTGGGGCCTCAGGGAAGGGGTGGGGCCATGAGGAAGAGTGGGCTAGGGTGTTCAGTTTTGTGCGATTAGAAAGTTGGCCACCCTAGTCTTGTCACGTGATACTAAACATTATCTTGGACTTCTTGTAACTTTCCACTAAAAGGAAAGTGGAATCAAATTTCAAGTCTTTATTTAAATCTTATTTAAGAGTGGGGAGGAAGGCAGATGAGTCTCTCTTCCATTGGCTACCCAAGAAGAAAGACTGCTGAAAGTACCTGAAGGGACAAAGAAACCAACCTAAAGGGAAAGGCAGGGGTGAGTCCAGAATGAGACAGGGGTCCAGTTTGTAAGAAAAATAACTGGAACCCTGAGCTACAGAAACTCTGCATCCTGCCTAAATTCAACATTTAGGGTGAGAAATTACATTTTGTAACCTGTTTCTTTAGTGAATCAAGTTTAGTTTGTGTGTTGTGTTTTATTTGCTCAGTAATCTGCTTTGTTCTGTTTGCTACTGCTTTAACTCCTTTAATCTGCCTTTTGCAGTTAATAAAATTTGTTTTGTTTATTGTTAAACTCAGTTTCTGTAATTTCTAATGGGGGAGGGACAATAAGTTGCGCATATCTTCCTCCACATTGAGGGAGGGGGTGAATTTATGAGCTCACGTTGTATAGATTTCTCAAAACAATATATCTTTGGGTCTGCACTCCAAGGGAGGTGGACACCTGAGTGCTGGGGAAAGTCCCTTAAACTGAGGCTTCCCAGAGATGATCTCAGTGTCTGTGACCTTCTGCAGTTGTGTATGGCCTGGCCTGTGTGTGTACTGGAGGAGGTTTAAGAGCCTGGCTCAGCAAGACTGGTAAAAAGGGTGCCTTGGCTGGCGGAACAGGCGGGCTCAGTGGTATCTCAGCACATCAGGTGGCAACTTGAAGGGGGGCAACCTGTTACAGTTCCATCTTCAGATCAGTCAATATAGTACATTTTGCAAACAGTAAACTTGCTCAGGGGCAAAAAAAAAGTTATGTTAAAAAGATTAGTGTCATTCTAACACTGAGAGCCAAAGTCATACTTTTAGCAGTGTTACATTTTACAGGTGGTAGACTGACTTTTACATACTTGAACACTTCTTTTAGTGGTTTCCTGATTGTACATAAATATTTACACTTTTTTAAAGTGTAGGAGTGACATTGGACTGTAATCAGCCTTGTGCTGTACTTCTATGGTAAGAAAGGACAACAAACACACCTTGATTGCATTGGCCTCGTTAGCACGACAAAAGTAATTTTTCCTCTCTTGATATTCACCCCTTCTTGTCAACTGTTGAGAATAGCCCACTTCCACCTTAACTGAATTGCCCTCATTAGCACTGACCCCCAACTTGGTAAGGCAACTCCCAACTTTTCATGTGCTGTGTGTGTGTGTGTGTGTGTGTGTGTATATGTGTTTATAAAAAATCACTGCTTATTGTATGTTCCACTCCATGCATCTGATGAAGTGGGCTTTAGCCCACAAAAGCTTATGCCCAAATAAATTTGTTAGTCTCTAAGGTGTCACAAGGACGACTCGTTGTTTTTTGCTGATAAAAACTAACACAGCTACCACTCTGAAACTTTTCAAGGAAATATTCTATTGCTCATTTCAAGAGAAAAATCAACAGTTAACATGTTTTCTACTGATCATTTTTGAACAATGTAGGAATAGTCCTGTGACAGGGCAACTTTCTGCAATGTCTTTGGAAGACTATATTATATTAGGTGTGTGAATGATTTTTGTATCATTATGGGCCAGGGATTGTATGCACTGCAAGGGTGGGGGAAAGTTACCACAGCTGCTCCAGGAAGTGAAAACAGTAGGGCATGATCAAGGCAAATTCACCTGAATTTGAACAGCTTATAAAGGAGTATTGCTAATGGAATAGGAAATGAACAAGATCCCATTGTCTCCAAAGCGCTGTCTTTGTTTTATTGCTTTTATTCAAAGTAAAATATAAGACCTAATTTCCTTCTCTGGCAGCCAACCAGACAATTTGGCATTCTCCCAAAGTGAATACTTTTGAAGGAAAATTAAACACCTTTCTCCCCCCCAACCCCAACAACTGATCAGAACGATGTTTGTGGAGGAAAGGAAAAGATAAGGAGGGGGGTCACATGAACTCTTCTAAACAATAGAAGAAAAGTTCTGTTCACTTAGGGCTGGATTATGATACCCTTACTTATAGTGAATCAGTGGGACTACTTGTGGATTAAAAATATATTGCTTAACAACATGAATAAGGGTATCAGAATCTGTACTTTGTGGTGTACAAATGACATGTCACTGTCCTACCAGGAAAGTGACAATGTGGTCCTATAGGAGGTGGAATTAAACTTCACATAGCACTCACGCTTTAAACACAAACATAATTAAGACATCATCAATTAAATACCTTTTCAAATTTGATTGGAAAACTGAGACTCAGCTTCCTCCATCTCGAATCGATAGTTCCTTAACTGAGAAACATAAATTGTTCCTTAGTTTGTGAATATGCTAAAGATAGTGCCCCAAACATCTCTCACTTATATTTGAAGGATACAGAAAATCAGAATGTGATCTTGATGCTGTGATTCTGGTGATCTTGAAAGTAATGTAATTTAATTATAGAAATAACTAAGAATCAATTAATCTCCAACCTTGCTTATTTACATTAAAGCTATTGTTTAAGTTCACAAAACCTTTGATGCCATGAAGTTAGATGATCACTTCCCAACATTGGTATTTTCAATTACTGTAAGAAACAGTTTCTTTTCTATGAAACTGATTTCATGCCTTTTGGCTATTTCTAATCTATTTTTTCCCCCCAACTATCAAGATTTGGATTGCAGAAGCCATTACAGGAGGGCTTCTCTCCAAGGTGCATGTCATTCACCTCTGGACACAAGTAGCAGCCTGTCACCCATGAAAAGTGCTCTCAGCATGCAAGAGAAAGAACTAAGGTATTGTACTTAGTAAAATCAAACATGTAGAGTGGCATTTATTGTCACTGGATAGCATTTAGTGCGTGTATGATATGATCAAGGATGTGTCTGCAATTTATGTAAGACCTTATGTTTCCATCATTAGGGTGAAAGAGAGAATAGCAGATCCCTATAATCTATCAGTAGGAAGGTCAGGAGATCTACAGTACGGAACAGAAGTGGCTCCCTAAAGCAATTAGGACTGTCAAGCAGTTAAAAAAAATTAATCGCATGATTAATTGCATTGTTAAACAATAATAGAATACTATTTATTTAAATATTTTCTACATTTTCAAATGTATTCTGTGTTGTAGTTGAAATCAATACAAAATGTACAGTTCTCACTTTATATTTATTTTGATTACAAGTATTTGTACTGTAAGAAAACAAGATATAGTATTTTTCAATTCACCTAATAAAAGTACTGTAGTGCAATCTTTTTATCATGAAAGTTGAACTTAAAATTGTAGAATTATTTACAAAAAAACTGCATTCAAAAATAAAACAAGGTAATCTTTTAGAGCCACTCAGTCCTGCTTCTTGTTCAGCCAATCGCTCAGACAAACAAGTATGTTTACATTTGCAGGAGATAATGCTGCCCGCTTCTTGTTTACAATGTCACCTGAAAGTAAGAACAGGTGTTTGCATGGCACTGTTGTAGCTGGAGCTGCAAGATATTTACGTGCCAGATGTGCTAAAGAGTCACATGTCCCTTCATGCTTCAACCACCATTCCAGGGGACAAGGGTCCATGCTGATGATGAGTTCTGCTTGTAACAATCCAAAGCAGTGTGGACCAATGCATGTTCATTTTCATCATCTGAGTCAGATGCCACCAGCAGAAGGTTGATTTTTCTTTTTTGGTGGTTCAGGTTCTGTAGTTTCCGCATTGGAGTGTTGCTCTTTTAAGACTTCTGAAAGCATGCTCCACACCATGTCCCTCTCAGATTTTGGAAGGCACTTCAGATTCTTTAACCTTGGGTCAAGTGCTGTAGCTATCTTTAGAAATCTCACATTGGTACTTTATTTGCATTTTGTGAAATGTGCAGTGAAAGTATTCTTAAAATGAACAACATGTGCTGGGTTATCCTCTGAGACTCCTATAACATGAAATATATGGCAGAATGCAGGTAAAACAGAGCAGAGGCCATATAATTTTCACCCAAGGAGTTCAGTCACAAATTTAATTAACACATTATTTTTTTAATGAGTGTCATCAGCATGGAAGCATGTCCTCTGGAATGGTGGCCACAGCATGAAGGGGCATATGAATGTTTAGCATATCTGACATGTAAATACTTTGCAATGCCAGCTACAAAAGTGCCATGCCTGTTCTCACTTTCATGTGACATTGTAAATAAGAAGAGGGCAGCATTAACTCCTGTAAATGTAAACAAACTTGTTTGTCTTAGCGATTGGCTGAACAAGAAATAGGACTGAGTGGACTTGTAGGCTCTGAAGTTTTACATTGTTTTGTTTTTGAGTGCAGTTATGTAACAAAACAAAATGTACATTTGTAAGTTCCACTTTCACAGCAAAGAGATTACACTACAGTACTTGTGTGAAGTGAATTGAAAAATACTATATCATTTTAAATATTTGTAATAAAAATATACACTTTGATTTTAAATACAAAATACAATATACATGAAAATGTAGAGAAACATCCAAAATATCTAATAAACTTCAATTGGTATTCTATTGTTTAACAGTGCAATTAAAATTGTGATTAATTGCAATTAATTTTTTGAGTTAATCATGTGAGTTAACTGTGATTAATTGACAGCCCTAAAGCAATACTATACTTTGGCAACATCCTGATTTCTTAATATGCACACCATAGACAGCGGGTCCTCAGTGGTCTGCAGTGGGGGTGCGGTCTGTGAAAATACAGAAGTTAAAGATATATATTTCTAAAAAAACCCTACCAAAATTAGCACATAGGCCAGAGTCTGAAGATGGATTTCAGCTCTGTTGGATGAGCTGGGATGAGTTAGATGAGCTGCAAATGTCCAGCAGGAAATTCCCCTGTCAAAAGAAAAAACTCTTTGCTGGTGCATCCATGCCTCAGTCAGTCCTGGTATCACACTTTCAGGAAGGACAGGAAATCAAGGGAGGGAGTAGGTGTATTTGAGCTCTTCTCAGCAAGGCAATTCTCTGCTGGTATAAGATTTATTAAGGACCTTATGCCAGAGGTAGAATTTGGAAGTGCCTGGAAGCAGCTCTAAGCATGGTCAGGGATGGCCCTGAGAATCAAGGAGCCAAAACTGGATCCCTGGTGTCTTCCTCCTCCCCACCGGTATATGATAAACAGAGCAGAAGAGAACCTGCCCCTTTCTACCAGACTCTGGTCATGTGGGTTCAACTCACAAGGCACCAAAGTTAAAGTAGCAGGAAAAATAACATTTAGCAGGGCTTTTTGTGACATATGTGTTGCAACACAGATTTTGGTCAAGGATCAGCAAATCATAGGTAAAATATGCTGGAAGCACAAATCTGTATGTATTAACATATTAAAATAAATTCCGTCATCTAATTAACGCCCTGTGAGTGTCAAGCACAGTTGCATTACAGACAACTTTAAAATCAATTTCTGTTCCTAGAAACCAGCTTGAACTAATTCGTGCATTTCTATTATCTGCAACACTTACATAAAGTAGGATTCTTGACTTTTGAAAATATAGAGGAAAATAAACCCAGGACTGTTCCATTAGTGCTTTTCAATTTTATGCTGCTCTGGGCTTTGCAATTTAGTATCTTATTGCTCTGACTATTAACTGTTACCTTATACAGTACAGAAGTTTATATAACATATAGACATAAAGCAAATATTTGCAAAATTCACTGTTCCTGTCACACATTTCCCTTTGATGGACGGGGGTATAGTCTGAAGTTTGAGGCAGGGTCAGGAATTTGTATGCCTTGTGTTGTATGTTTTTCACTTTTATACAGGCTCTTTTCATAACTAGGGCCCTACCAAATTCACAGTCCATTCTGGTCAATTTCACAGCCATAGTATCTGAAAAATAAGTCAGTTTCATATTTTCAGATGTTTACATCTGAAATTTCATGGCGTTACATAAGAACGGCCATACTGGGTCAGACCAAAGGTCCATCTAGCCCAGTATCCTGTCTTCTGACAGTGACCAATGCCAGGTGCTTTAGAGGGAATGAACAGAACAGGTAATGACAAAGTGATTCATCCCCTGTTGCCCATTCCCAACTTCTGGCGAACAGAGGCTAGGGACACCATCCATGCCCATCCTGGCTAATAGCCATTGATGGACCTATCCTCCATGAATGTATCTAGTTCTTTTTTGAGCCCTGTTGTAGTCTTGGCCTTCACAACATCCTCTGGCAGAGAGTTCCACAGGTTGACTGTGTGTTGTATGGAGAAATACTTCCTTTTGTTTGTTTTAAACCTGCGCCTATTAATTTCATTTGGTGACCTCTAGTTCTTGTGTTACAATGATGTGTTGTAACCATGGGGGTCCTAACCCAAAAGGGAGTGGGGGGGGGCAAGTCTGTTGTAGGGCAGTTGCAGGATTGCCATCCTCACTTCTACACTGCCAGAGCTGGGCTCTGAAGTCAGCGGCCATGGAGCTTCCTGCAGCTGGAGGAGGTTCCTGGAGCGGGAGGTGGGTCTGACCAACCCTGTGCTGCTGGGAGTGCTGAGGGCTCCAGGCTTCTAGTTCCAGCCGGGATGGGGAGGGACAGGACTTGTTCTTCCCCTGCATGCCTGTTCTCAGGGGAGATCAGACCCACTGCCTCCCGCTGCCCGAAGCTCCAGGGCTGCCCCTCCGCCTCCCGCCCCCAACCCCAATAGCTAGATTTCACAGGAGAGGGCTTATTTCATGGTCCATGATACGTCCATGAATTTGGTAGGGCCCTATTCATAACTCAGGGCTAGTCTCTGACTATCCCTTATATGGCATGCGGTAAGAGAAAGGAATAAGGAGCCTCCATCCCATCATTGCAAGACCAACGTAAAGGTTGATTACAGTCATAGCTGCTGTGCTCAGGGAAGTGCAGAGTTTGCTACTGAGTTGCTCTCACTTACTAGATATGGGTATTTACATTGAAATCAAATTTGCTCCTTTAAATATTGTAGCGCTGTAATTTTTGCAGCTCTTGAGGGTAAGTAATAGATGAACTAAACCCTGATTGCCTTGGCCATGCCTCCCTGGCCACTTTTAGGGCTGATCTGGCTCAGCCGCGTGGCCAGGTGGAGGGAACTGGGGGAGCGATCCAAAAAGAAAAGGCGCCACCCACTGCGGTGCTTTTACTCACCCGGCGGCAGGCCCTCACTCGCTCCGGGTGTCTTCGGCGGCACTGAAGGTCCCGCTGCTGAGGTGCTGCCGAAGACCCAGAGCGAGTGAAGGTCCTACCGCCGAGGTGCCGCCTAAGACTTGGAGCGCCTCGGGGTGAGTAAAAGCACCCCAGCGGGTGGCGCCTTGTTTTGGGGATCGCTCCCCCATTCCCTCAACAGGGGAAAATTTAAAAGGAGCCAAGACATTGACATGTCTTGTGCTCCGTGGGGGAGCGGATGCTGCCCCGCTCCCCCCCAGCTACGCTACTTATCTGGCTACTTCCAAAACCCTTGTAAAGGGGTAAAAACAACGAGGAGTCCTTGTGGCACCACACCCAGGAGGTGTGTGGGTTACACATGCACTGGGGCCGCTAGCTCTTCATGGGGCTGCAGCTACACTCTATTTTTAGCACACTAGTTTGATCAGACTAGCACAGGTATGTGTCCTCAAGCTGGGAATCATACCCCCAGATTGAGCTGTAGATATACCCTAAGATGGTGGTTTTCAACCGAGGACCCCTGGGGATCTGAAGACCATGTCTAAGATTTCCAAAGGGGTCCACACCACCATTTGAAAAATTTTAAGGGTTCGCAAATGAAAAAGGTTAAGGATCATACCCAAAGTCCTGTTTGTTGGCACCATTGCAATCCGCAAAACCCCCACTTGGTTG